CTGGGTTATGAATGTTGAAATATACATTTTTTTCTGTTTTGTCTTCTCTGCCCCGCCTTTTTTTTGTCTTTTCTCTTTCTCTTTCTCTCTCTGTGCATGTTGATTCTAACGTCTCCACATTTTAACAACGGCAAAGTGTTACCGCTATTATTATTAATTATAATTATTATGCTTATTTGTATTGTTATTATTATCGTTGTTGTTGTCATTATTATTATTATTATCATTATTATAATTTTTATTACTACTACTACTACTTTTACTACTACTCCTACTACTTTATCATTAACATTATCATTGTTATTCGCGTTTTTTGTCAGTCTGTTCCCCTGAGACGATGGTTCGGAAAAAACTTCGATTTCACTTTCAGTTGAAGCTTTGGCAGGGAAATGAAGCTTCGTTGGGGGGGAGGAGGGGCATGTTGGTCCGCCTCTGCTTGCTTGTAGTCGGGGAATGTCGTGTCTTCGGTTGGGGGGAGGAGGGGGGGAGGGGAGGGGGATGAAAAGAACGCCCTTTCCCCAAATACAGATGTTGGTGTGTCTGTGTGGGGGGGGGGTATCATCTTTGTGGGTTTATTATTTGCTGTGTTGTTGCGGTCCCTTTTTCTTGATCCCTCTCTCTCTCTCTCTCTCTCTCTCTTCCCCCCCCCCTCTCTCTCTCTCTTCCACCCCCCCCTCTCTCTCTCTCTTCCACCCCCCCCCCTCTCTCTCTCTCTCTCTCTCTCTCTCTCTCTCTCTCCTCTCTCTCTCTCTCCTCTCTCTCTCTCCCTCTCCCTCTCCCTCCCTCCCTCCCTCTCTCTCTCTCTCTCTCTCCCTTCCCCTCTCTGTTCTTCCTCTCCCTATCTCTTCTCTTCATCTTTCCTCTCTGTTCTCTTTCAACCCACCTCTCAATCCAAATTTCTTCCGAGAGTCTTCAGACATATCCTCTTCTCCCTCCTGCCCCTCCCTGTTCCTTCGCCCTTCCTTCCTCCTCCCGTTTGCTCAGTCAGTACCTGCCAATCTCCTTCCTACCTGGAGAGGTTCATAACAGTCGATGCAGATCCAAGCACGAAGGGGCAGTGTGTGTGTGTGTGTGTGTGTGTGTGTGTGTGTGTGTGTGTGTGTGTGTGTGTGTGTGTGTGTGTGTGTGTGTGTGTGTGTGTGTGTGCGTGTGTATGTGTGCGGTGCCTATCTATCTGTCAGTCAATAAACTGCGTACCAGTCTGTCTGTCCGGCAATCTGTCTTTTAGCAGCAGCAAAAATTCGAGACTGAATCCGTGAAGACCCTGGCTGGTGCTGCCACCTAGCGGCGATCTCGACCAACATCAACACGTTTGTGCCGGATTCTGTTTGCTTTGGTGGAGCTCGGTGTTTGTGCGGCGATCCAATATACCCGTTTTTATTTTTTGTTTTTTTTTTTGCACGGAGGTCACCATACATCTGTTGACCCGACCCCGCTGCCTGTTTTGATTGCACAGTGATTTCATCGGGATCGGCTTTCTATAAATCTCCTTCTCTCTTCTCCCTCCTGACGGGGCGTTGAAACCGCACGCCGCCCGCAGGAGCCTCGCCGATAAAGTTCTGACTCGCGGGGGTGTTCTTGCTATCAGGCGCCCCCCTCCCCCCCCAAGGCTCTCGCCGCGTACGCTGAGCTGCCGATAGCGCTGACAGCTGCTGACAGCGATTGGTGGTTCTGACAGCCAAGTCGGGGAGAGTCTGATGTTTTCACGGCACGATACGTAAGGTTTTATTTGACTTCCGGGCTGCGAAGGAGAGAGGGAGAGAGAGATAGAGAGAGAGAGAGAGAGAGAGAGAGAGAGAGAGAGAGAGAGAGAGAGAGAGAGAGAGAGAGAGAGAGAGATAATCACACACACACACACACACACACACACACACACACACACACACACACACACACACACACACACACATATATATATATATATATATATATATATATATATATATATATATATATATATATATATCCTGGAGACTCGTTCGACAAGTGTCTGGCTGCGATGCGCAGCCACGAACTCCATCCATCCTGAACCTGTTTATTGTCCTCCGCTGCGAAGGTACAACGGCAAACACGGCATATTTTTGTTGCCATGTTTACCTGTTACGATGATGAAGAAAGAGGAGGAGGAAACACGAAGGGGAATAGAGAGGGAGGAAGTAATCGGAGGACGAGAGGGGAGGAGGGAAAGGGGAGGAGGGAAGGGAAGGGAAGGAGATGGGGGCTTGGGAGTGCATAGGAAGAGGAGAGGGGGAGAGGAAGGAGGAAAACGATAATGCGAGAATTGAAGATCATAGCAACGAAGAGGAGAAAGGGCGATATTAGAATAGTGAAAAAAGGGAAACGAAAAAGTAAAAACGAAAAAGAAAATATACAGAAACACATTTTGGAGTTCCAGCCTAACACGTCTGCAAATAACAAAATTTGAGAACTGCAAGAAAATTCAACAAATGCGTTTCTTTCTTTTTTTTTTCTTTCGTATTAACCGAAGAGAGTCAGGGAGTTGCATGAGTGTGGCATTGGCGCTCGTTTCCAATAATCATAAGCGGGTTTATTTTAATTAGTGGGAGGCGAAAACACTTCAGCGAAAATAGATTATGATGTCATGATGCCGAGACACGGAAACTCTCTTTCCCTCTCGCTCTCTTTTCTTCTTTTTCTCTTCTCTTCACTTCTCTTCTTTTCTCTTCTCTTATCTTCTCTTCTTTTCTTTTCTCTTCTCCTCTCTTCTCTTTCTCTCTCTCTCTCTCTCTCTCTCTCTCTCTCTCTCTCTCTCTCTCTCTCTCTCTCTCTCTCTCTCTCTCTCTCTCTCTCTCTCTCTTTCTCTCGCGTTGGAAGGAGATATGAAGCGGCGAAGGGGGCCGGGTCACGTGATCATTTAGCTGAGAGAGAGGGAGGGAGGGAAGGGGGAGGGGGGGAGGGAGAGAGGGAGGGAGGGGGAGGGAGAAATGGGGGTCAGAGACAAAAATATATATATACATATATATGTATGTGTGTATAAATATATATATATATATATATATATATATATATATATATATATATATATATATATATATATTCGTAAGTGTATGCGCGAACGTTAAACCTAATTGTGAACATAATTGATATTGCCGTCGCCCAGCTCCGCTCAGCTGGATAACCCATGTGCCGAGTCGTGCATTTGCAGAATATAAATTTCTACAGATTAATGTAATGCAACACCGACTTTAACCGCTCGTTTTGGACTTTATACAAAAAGACGGTCTTATCGGCTTACGTCCATGAATTTCCCTAATCTTTATGTGTAAATCATCGCTAATCATCCCGGCGGCTCATTAGCGCTTTTACCACGTAATTAAGCGCATACCCCCCCTCTGCCCCCTCCCTCCCCCCCTCTTCGCCTTAATCACCCCCCACTCCCTATCGAATGACTTTGTTTGCGTTGGGATATTGCGGAATTGCCCTGTTGGCTCGCTTAATACGCTGCTTGATGACGCGAGCCTTGACCTGTTGTGACCTGACCACTGCTGCTGCTTCTCTTCCTGCTTCTTCTCCTCCTCTCCCTCCTTCTCCTCCTCCGCCTCTTTCTCCCTTTCTCCTTCTCCTCCTCCTCCTTCCCCTCCTCCTTCTCCCGTGAACCTCATTTCGTATTTGTCATTTCTTTCTGTATTTTTTGCTTATCCATATTCTCCCTTTTATTTAGTTATTATATTTTTCCTTTAATTGTTTATTCCATGTTCATTTTTCTTTATATTTTCATTGTTTTTTTGCAACTGCCTCATTATCTTTCGTTACACCTCTCTTAAAAAAAAAAAAAAGACTCCCCTTTTAGGCCTCGTCCCCCACCTCATCTCCACCTCATTTCGGCCTCTCCCTCATTCCAGCTTCATCCCCGTCATCTTCATTAACCCAGGCTCTAGTTATCCCACCGGCCGCGGGTAATTTTGGGCTGACTAAATCTTTTGGCGACACGACACGCGCTCTTTGCTTCTTCCTTTCCTCCTCCTCCCCTTCTTCGTCTTCCTCCTCCTCTTCCTCCTCTTCTTCTTCCTCTTCTTCCTCCTCTTCGTCGTCCTCCTTCTGCCCCCCCCTCCTCCTGCTCTCCCTACTCCCCCCCCTCCTCCTCCTCCTCCTCCTCCTCCTCCTCCTCCTCCTCCCTTCCACTCTTTCCTTCTCTTTTATTCCCCTTCTCTGATTTTGTATCTTTCTTCTTGTGTCTTTCTTCTTCTTGCCTCTTCCTTCCACTTTCCTTCCTTTCACATCTTTTCCTCCTTCGTATCACGCTCTTTCCCTTCTCTCCACCTGTTAGCCTCTTCCCCTATGCCTCCCTTCCTTTCTCCCTCTCATCCACACCCTATTTTCTTCCTCCTACCCTCCACCCCCCCCCTCCTCCTTCCAACCCCTCCCTATTTCCCTCCACCATTTACTGAGGCAGGTGGAGGGAATGGGGGATGGGGGAGGGGAGGAGGGTATGGTAGGATAGGGGGAGGAGGAGGGGGTGTAGTAGGATAGGGGGGGTAGGATAGGGGGGAGGGTGGAAGAGAAGGCGTCTCGCTACGGTGAGAATTCATTAACTCCTTTGTTGGCTTTGATCTCTTAAATGTGACGAATGTTCTTGAGAACGTCTTTGTGCTGCCGTGGCGCGGGGTGGGGGGAGGGCAGGGAGGGGAGGGGTAGGGGAGGGAGGGGACGGGCGGAGGGAGTAGGAGGGGTTGAGGGAGGATGGATCTTGCACGTTCTTCAGGCGCGCCTTTTGGGAGTTATTCTTTTTCGATCCATCTACATATCTGTTTATATATATGTATTTGTGAATCTCTCTCTTTCTCTGTCTATCCTTCCTCCTTCCCACGATCCCTCCCCCCTCCCTCATTCTCCCCCTCCAAACCCCTCCCCCCCCCGCCCAACCACCCCCACCACGGCCTCGACCCCCTCCCCCTCGCCATGACCTCGCCCCCTTTCGCTATGCCCCCTCCCCCCTCCTTCCGTGCCAGACGCTGACCACCGGTGTTGTCTCTCCGCAGGTGAACGGGCGCGACGTGAGCGGCCTCAGCCACTCGGACGCCGTGCGGGTGTTCCAGGAGGCGCAGGAGCCCATCATGGTGCAGGTGCTGAGGCGGCCGGCCCACAACAACAACAACAATAACAACAACAACAACAACACCAGTAGCGGCAGCACGCCCAACGCCTCGCAGACGCAGCAGCAGTCCACCTCCGCGCCCTCCTCGCCCTCGCACACAGCCACGCCCAACGGCACGCCCTCGACCTCCGCCTCCACGTGCACCACCACGGCCGCGTCGGGAGGCGCCCACCACCACCACGAGGGGGAGCTGCACGCGGGCCCCACCGCCACCACGGGGACGCAGACGGAGGTGAAGCCGCTGGATATATCTTGGTCTTTCATAATTAGCTTAGCTGTGTAGTCTCTCATGAGAGACTACACACGCATGCACACATGCACGTATGTGGACACACACACACACACACACACACACACACACACACACACACACACACACACACACACACACACACACACACACACACACACACACACAATATTCTAATGTATTTATAAGTGTATCGACAAGTAGGTAAGTTGGTGGATAGGTAAAGGTAGACAGACGAGCAATGAATGACATATTGATCATATTAAATGAACAAAGAAAGTTGATTATATCAAGGAATTGCTAAATTAGCAGCTGACTTTTGCAACTTGGAGGAGCACGATCCTGCATTTTGTCCAAATTATAGATCAGCTAGCCGGTGCTTGATGAATGCTATAAAAAGATGAAATTATTACTGTTATTATTCTTTTCATCATCATCATCAATTATTACTATAATTTTTATTACTATTACTATTATAATCTTACTAATCAATGAGTTATAACTACACATCTTCCCCCCCCCCGACTCACAAGCACCCCTTCCGCCCGACAGATGACCCTGATGGGCGTGGGCGACTGGGAGGTGGCCACGAGCGAGTGGATGGGCGGCGTGGGCGTGGGCAGCGACTCCGATTCTCCCGACGGCGACTACGTTTTCCCCGGCGACTTGCCTCAGTCTCTCTCGCAGTTTCTTGAGCAGGAGATAGATATAGAGGTAAGGGCGAAGGCGATAACAAGTAGATGGTGATAACAAGTAAGGATGATAAAGGAGGTGATAAGATGTATTTTTAAAATGTAAAAATTGTCATGATTAATTGTCCTGATTAAAAGTGATAAGAAAAAAAATATATGAATTTGATAGTGTTGCTCGTTTCTGTCCTTGAGTTTATTATCATCAGTATTATCAGAAATGTGGGCCTTGGTCAGTGTTATTATCATACTTTTAGTGATCGGACATGTGCTTGTGGTTGAGTGTGTGTGTGTGTGTGAGAGAGGGAGAGAGAGAGAGAGAGAGAGAGAGAGAGAGAGAGAGAGAGAGAGAGAGAGAGAGAGAGAGAGAGAGAGAGAGAGAGAGAAAGACTCGTAGATTATTTATGATATGCGATTTCATCTCACTAGGAATTAAATAAAAATAAAAATAAAACGCAAGAAATCGCAATATTATCTTCACTTTTTATTCCCTTTTTTATCGACACATCAAGATCAGTCCGAGAGTCAAATTGGCCGAAGCATTTCATGGGAACGCTAATGTTGCGTGCAATTCGCCTGCAAAATGCAACGTGTGCGGAAGGCGGGACGGGATGAGAGGGGAAAGGAGGGGAAAGGGAAATGCGAGTCTCAGAGACTAATTTCCGGCAGGATCTTCTCCCGCCCGAAGGAGGGGAGAGGAAGGAGGACGGCCGGAGAGGAGTTGATAGGGAGAAGGCAGGCAGGCAGGAAGGGAGTCGGGCAAGCAGGCAGACAGAAAGACAGACAGACAGACAGACAGACACACAGATAGACACACAGAAAAGGGGATGGAAACAGACAAGCATACATATAGAAATAGAATGGGCGCGAAAAACGACGAAGACGAATGGCCTCCGCACGAGCGCGGAGGCGTCCAGCAGCGGCCGGTCCCGGCAGCTCCTTCGCCATACCCGCTCCACCTTAGACTTCTCCAGGCCTCCTCCCAGAACGAAGAAGTAATAAGCAAGAGAGCGTGCAACTTTCCAAAAACCTTTCGCCTTTTAAAAGTGGTAATAACGCTATTGTTGAAGCCGATTGTGTTCGTCTGCCTCTCTCAATGAGAGACGCACACGCACGCAAGTGGGTGTGACCGCCGTTTTCTCTTCCGGCGTGCTGGACGAGAGGGGAAACTCGTAAAGATTACCGAGAAATGCTCAATGGGAGATCCTCGTGCGCCCCTCTTCCTCCCACGCCTGGTTCTTCCTTTCCCCTCCCTTTCCCCACCCACATTCTCCCTCCCCCTCCCTCCTTCCCACCGCCCCTCTCTCTCTCTCTCCCTTTTGCCTCCCTTTTCCCTCCT